AGGCTGCAGCGTAAAGGAAAAGTAAAGAATCTGAGGACGAAGAAGTGACTGTGGCCAAATAGCACGCCCTTTTTACAGTGAGTTCGAACATATTCTGGTTGATAAGCCAAGCTGTCAGCCATCGGAACTTTATGATCGCTCCTGCAATGCTGGCGAAGATAAAACTAAACCTTCGGGAGCGACTGCCGTTCGTTGGCAGTTACCTCTGGATGAACCACATGAAGCATTGTTCTTTTGCACATGTGGGTCAGTTTAGGCGCGTGATCTGTTCAGACTAATGTCACATACAGGTCACAGTGCAAAGATAATGTGAACAGCCAAAAAAATCAGATTTGGTGAGAAAATCAGATTTGGGCCACTTTTACCTGCTGTGTGAACGTAGCCATACATGTGTGCTTCTAGACTGGATACATATCTGACCAGATTCGTTGCCATGAGATCTTGAGAATGGTCAGACCAGAATTCAAGCATTCTGTTTTTTTTCTATTGTTAAAATTCATTTAATTAATAGTGACTACCTTGACTAAAATAAGCAAGATGGTCCCATGACTGAAGCATTTAAGCCTAAAGTAAGGTATCTAAAATGTAAACCAACAAACGAAAACAAACTCTGTGCACATATTTAGCAATCTATCTTTGCCTCGCACTCTGTTACTAAGTTACAGAGTGAAGCTTGTGGCATCTGCAGCTGTAGAAATGCTGAGTAAGAAGAAATGCTGGCAACCCACAGAGGCTGTCAGTGTTTACGAGTCAGGAGTGTTAAAACGGCTAAAGCTGTCAGTGACACTGTTAAACTCTGCAGTAGACTGCATTGCTTTTCATTGCTTGAAAACAGATGCTCAGCACTTTAAATTTTCTGTACAATGTTAAACACAAAAACTCTTCAGAGAACATTAAGTTCTCTGTTTTTATAAAGTTTTATAATGTAGTCTTGGGTGAAAATGACTTAAGAGAGGAAACATTCACATTTTTCATCATAAAATACCTAAAATGACTCAGGACTTAAAGACATATTTCACTTTTAAAGATAATCTTAAGAATGATAAATGAAAATAGTTCTCTAAAACTAATCTAATATCTGGTTTAAGGGCTCATATCTTACAATTCTCTGCATTTTTTGCAATTTATTTCCTTTCCTGGGGCCCCCTATAAAGTCTGTGTGGTTTTATGTACCAAAAACATTCACAATTCATTTCACATGGACATATTCAAACATCTTTTTTATCCCTTATAATTAAACCGGCTGTACCTTTAAGACACCTAAGAGTTATATATGTAAATGACTTCTGCTCTGAATGGCTGTCCTGTATTGTGCCTCCTTCAAAAAGTAGTTCAGGCTGAAACACTCTTTATAACTTCAGTGTGAGTGGGCCGAGCTAAACAGCTGTAGGCTTAATAGGTGGATATGCAAATATCCTGGCTTTCATGACATCAGTGAAACATTCAATTCAATACAGGCTCTTTTTGCAGCTTAATGTCCTTGGGCCTTTTAAAGAATATTACTCAAATTGCTTCCTCCACAAGCTGATCAATATCTACGCAAAGTCCACACTGAGGTGAACATGAGATAACATCAGTCTACACAAGCACAAATGGAGAGACTTACATAGAAATGGAAATGCAGAAATATGGACAAGACTTTAGGCGCAGCCACTGGGAATCTGCTGAGCAAAGTCTGAAGATACACTTCCAGCTCCTTCTGTCTCTTCTCTACGAGGCTTTTAGAGTTTTTACCAATAATCTTTTTAGGTGGCAACAGGTGTTTGTCGATCTTCTTCTCAGAAGTAAGCTGAAAGACATATTACAGAAGTCGTACAGTGTCTGTAAAGCATCATGAATCAGGAAGTGAACCTTTCTGCTTCCGGAGGGATCAAATGTACAAAAAGATTAAATGTAAATCAACTCACCTTTTCGTGCAAGTCGTGGAAGTCACTGTAGCGATGCTTAATAGTCCATCTGTGGTCTCCAACCTTCACCTCAATTATGTAAACCTAAACAGGATGAACATGTGGTACAAACTTTAACAATTCTAAAAAGTCCTGTAACAAATGGAAATTCTGATGCGCTCATTTAGAATTATTTACAAGTCTTATTGATTCAAGTCATTCAAAGTGGTTTGGTGTGAAATGCTCTGTTCTAGAGACACTTACCAAATCAGAATTGTTCAGAGTGGTGGTGATAGGAACCAGAAATCTACAGCATTTAATGCTTTTAAAAACTACATCACAAGAAACTAGTACATCAAGTGGTTACACATACACTGCCTGATGCCTGAGACATAGTTTTGTGATAAAGTTTTGGCCTAAAATATATTTTAATCAATGTATTTTTTAACCATGCATGGTGGAAGCATACATGAAGGGCAAATGAAATGAAATCTGAGTCTGTCAGTTTCTCTACAACGAACAATTTCACATCAAACCATCCCTAATGACTCTATTTACATCTCAAGGACTGAATTCTTCAGAAATTTTGAAAAATCGGTGGAATTCCCCTTTAAATGCACTTCTGTCAGATTGTGCTAGCTCGCTTTTAACGTTAAAATAGGAGTTAGCTTAGCTTCTTAGCCGGCTAACTGACCTGCTCTCTGTGTAATCTACATTTTCAATACAAAATAGCTAACACTAATAAATATTCATACTTTTATTGTCCTCACTGTCTTTAGAGTCAGTAAGCTGTCGAACTGTCACACTAACGGTAACGGTTAGCTGGCTAACACGGCCATGTATTTCTCAATGTACTGGCGAGCTTAACGTTAGCTGCTCTCAAATAACAACTTACAGTGTAGTTTTCCACAAGCTCCGATCCAACAATGCAGACATTCCTTTCAACGGGTTGGTCGTGAAACGCTGTACAATCCATTTCACTAAAATAACTAAATCTAAACCATTACGAAACCTGGAGGGTGATTTGAGCGTCTAACGGGCATCTCTCCGTTGACGTTTGCAGCGAAAACGCTCAGCAACCTCCATCTTTGTTGTGAATCCGACAGCCGTTGTTTTTTCCCCACCCGTTTTCCGACCAGTCCCGCCTCCTGCGCGCTAGGATTGGCCAGTAGGAAGCTGGAATCTGCGCTCGGATTGGCTTATATTTCATACTTACGAACAGAATGAGAGCTACTAGCCAATAGAAGACCAGGAAGGCGGCATTTGTCGAAATACAGGTGGGGAAAAAATACATTACGTTTTCCTTCTTATGTAGTTCAATGTCTGACAGTCTAAAGTGGTGAATTACTGTGTATACTGCCGCCTGCTGTAGTGGTGTGCACGTCTGCTCATCCACTAAAGCACAAATTTTGGGATTTCCGTAACTATGTGCATTTCTGCCTAACACTTTTAAAAAATGGTTCTATATAGAACCATGAACACTCAAAGAACCATTATCAATCAGCTTAAGTGGTTCTTTGCATGGTGAAATTGTTCTTTAGATTGATGGAGAATGTGTGGTATGTGGTTCTCTATAGCACCAAAAAGGATTCTACTATTGTTAGGATGTCAAGAACCCTTTTTGGTGCTATATACAACCATTTTCAGAAAGGTTCTATATAGAACCATATAACACACATTCTTCAAGAACAATGTCACCATGAAAAGAACCATTTAAGCATGCTAATGGTTCTTTGAATGTTCATGGTTCTATATAGAGACATTTTCTTTACTAAAGAACCCTTGAAGAGCCATCTCTTTTAAGAGCGTATATTGTTTGTCATTGTGTGTAATGTTCTGTAGAGCAGCAATGCATCTCTCAGCATCATAGGTTTGACAGAATTCACAATTTCGTATCCCTTTCTGATTTCTTCACTCACTACAACACCCAGCATACTTTATGCAAATATGTCACACAGCAGTTGTCACAAATCCTCCTCCTAGATATCTATCTTCACCTCCAGCCCACCTGTAATACACTATTACAGCTAATTAAGGCTATTTAAGACCCCTGAACACAACAATGAGATGGATCAGGTGGGGTTGATCAGGGCTGGAGCTAAAGTCTGCAGAAAGGTAGATCTCCAGAACTACTTCAATTAAAAATCCAGACTGCTAGCATAGCCACAGATATAGATCCTGATAAATACAAACATGATGTTTGCCTTTTTATTGGTTATATTAGCTGGTTTCTGTGTGCATTTGCCAGACCTCTCCACCCTCCCCAAAGCAGTTGTAGCTCCTTCCACCTTCGAAATACATCATCAGAAGGCATGTTCTGGCCTTAAAACCAGAAAATCGTGCTCTACAGACTGTTGTGACGACACTGAATGAGGCCAGAAGGCATGTTTGCACCAGATAAAGCAGTGATAAAATTTTTCATTTGGGCCAAAGTGTCCCTTTAATGCATTTTTAAAATGACACAGTGGAGCAACCTTGCACGTCAGCATTTAAAGGAAATTCCACTGATTGTTTTGAAATTTGTGTATAATCAATTAATCAATCAACCTTTATTTTGGAGTACATTGAGGAAGACACTCATTTATGTAGTCGAGCCAATACAGAGATAAAGGATTGAGAAGTTGAATAGAACATAACAAATGCTAAAATGTAATAATAATCATAGTTGTAAATAAATAAAAAATGAAATCAATAAACTATTAAAATGACAACAATACAGTAACTTAATAAATAAGATAAAATAAGGATAAATAAAAAATTAAAGTAATGAAATAAAGAAATAAAAGATGTAAAACAGTAGCTAATATTAGAATAAACCAGAACAGAATAATAAAAATGAAACAATAGCTAATCATGTATGAAAAATCATATTAAAAGATAACTAACATCAGGTAAAACAGTTGCAGGCTGATTGGAGGTGGTTAAAGACTAAAAGTTTAAAATGTTCATATGACACCAGCGAGCAAAGCTTTAGTGGTTCCTGTTATAATTCCAACTCTCTGGTGCTCTTCAGCCAAAAGCTGATTTTCCCAGTTCAGCAAAAGCTCTTGGCACCTGAAGGGTTGTCTATTCACTGGAACTAGTCTGGTAAGATCCTGTGATGTACAGTGACATATGGCCAGTAAGTGCTTCATACATAAAAAGAAGCCAATATGTCTCCCGACACACAGACAGAGATGATCAGCCAACTATGACTAAATGGTTAAGATGTAAATAAAGTCATTTAGAGTGATTTGATTTGAAATGCTTCGTTCTATAGAAACTTGCAGTGAGAACTGTTCACAGTGGTGATGATGGGAACCAGACATCCACCTCTAAAAGCTCCCTCACAGAAAGTTATTACATTACATGGTTATATATACGAATATGCTGCCTGAGCTCTGAGACATTGTGTTACTAAAGTTTTGAGGTAAAGATTTGGCCTGAAATATATATTTTTTACATTTTTTTAATTCATGGTGCAGGGGTACATGTAGGGCACTGTGAGGCAAAATAGTCCCCAAAGAAAAGTTATTTTTCCAGATTTATCACTATTTTTCATCATCAATATCACATATAAAAAAATCAGAAGATGTGTAGGTTCACTGGTGGTTTTGGATAGTAAGTAAAATGGCTGTGTTGTAGACATGGTGACCCCTGGTTCCCATCACCACCACTGTAAAGAAAATGTCTGTCAGTGAACCATTTCACACCAAACCACTCTCAATGACTGTTTACATCTCTATGACTGAATTACACAGAAATTTTGAAAAATGGGTGGAATTCTCCTTTAACCAAAGCAAAGCTGTACATATAGGACAAAGTCTAAAGCCAGCACAGAAATGCAGATGAGCTATTAAATCCAGCCAAACTGTGCATGCAGTGTGTAATTTTACTACAGGAGGGGGCGCAATGTGCATCTGATTTGTGGCAGCATGTAGTCTATAATTTTCCCTAAAATGTTGTTTCTCTCTGTGTGTATGTATGTTAACAAGCCCTGCAACTGTACTGGCTCAAAATATAACCCACCGGTGGAGGATGTGTGTAACGTTTGTGGTGATGAAGGACAAAAAAAACTAACATTATATTGAGGACAGAAATTTTTGATATTTTGTTTTATTACAAAGACTGCAATAAGGATACTTGCTATTTAATTAATTTAATTAATTAATTTTGTTCATTTCTCATGGTAAATATTGTATCATAAATGGAAATTACGAATAGAATCCCAAATAACTACGTCACCTCAATTCAATACATGCATTTTAATAAAACATCTAAACTGATGAACATATTGACAAAATTGTCATATTTTTTGAAGATGTACTTATCTCATGCAAAATGTATTTGGGGATGTTACAGGGGAACTTAACCATTTTTTCAAAATTTCTGCATATTACAGTGATTGAGATATAAACAATACATTCAGAGTGATTTGGTGTGAAATGGTTGATTGTAAAGACTCAGATTTCTTTACAGTGGTGGTGATAGGAACCAGGGGTCACCAGGTCTACAACACACATATAGCCATTTTATTTGCTATCCAAAACCACCAGTGAACCTTCTAAGTTTTTAATGTTGATGATGGTAAAATAGTGGAAAATCTGAGACAAAAGTTTTCTTTGGGGACTATTTTGCCTTATAACACCATTCGTGTGTCCATCCACCGTGAATGCATGAAAATAAATCGATTAAAATACGTTTTTATTATAAAACTGCCGTGAAACAGTGTCTCATACATCAGGCAGTGTATTCATAACCATTTCCTGTACTAACTTTCTGTGAGGGAGCTTTTAGAGGTGGACGTCTGGTTCCTATCACCACCACTGTGAACAATTCTGACTCTGTAAGTTTCTCTAGAACAGAGCATTTCACACCAAACCACTCTGATTTCGTTGACTTTAACCGTTTAATTATGCAGAAATTCTGCAAAATCGGTTCCCCTTTAACGCGCATTTACAGACATGATAGGAAGCATGAAAAAGTGGACTGTAGTGACAACAAAAAATAAATATATCTTTTATTAGATTATATTATTTGACAAGGCAAAGAAAAAATGAGCAAAAAAGGCAGAACCTGCAGAGGGCGATGGAATTTAACGATCAGGAAAGATAGGAATACATAACTGGTGTGTTTTGTGTGTGTGCGTGAACTGCACGTCTGTAACGCAGCATATTAGGCTAATAACAGTTTTGTTTAAGACAGCGTTATAACCCAGCTGTCACCAACCCAGGTTTAACATCACTGCTATGAAAGTTGGAATTAAGCGCAATCGGTTAACTGCATGTAAACAAACAGCCAGATCTCTGTGAAACAGGCTCCGTGCGTGCTTGCGAAATACTGCGCAGCTTATTTACAGAGTCGCTGTGCATTCACAAAACGAACCTAAAGTTCCTCCGTGCATTGAGCTGCTTTGTTATGTTCCGTCCCACCGCACGTACACGGCGTGAATCACGTTTGGCCAAACCCATTGTGCTGTCCGAATGTGGTGGCTGATCTGGGGTCTGCTAGGCTTTTTCTCCTCTAACAGCAGCTGCGCGATTTGGAGCGGCAGTTGCTGCTTCTAGAACGGCCGTTACAACAACAAGCAGGAAGAAACCATCCGCTTGAATTCGTGGGGGTGCTAACTTTCTTTGTCAGCCCCTGTGAGCGAAGAATACGCTTCGCTTGTTTGATTATTTGATCAAAGTGTATCTACTTTTTGTTCTTTTGTTGTATTGTCATCCGTATTTACCTATTTTGGTTTAGTTTTTTGTGCAAGCCCGTCTCGAGTAACCCAACACTCCTAAACTCGAGCACTTCCAACGAGCCCAACGGCTGTATAAAAGGCAATGCAGTCCGTTAGAGGGAGGAGTTGACAACTGTCACTAAGAGGAAAGTTCTCTCGTTTTGGGGAGGGCAAAGTAGTTTGTTTGTGCACAAACAAAACGTGGAACAAACTACAAGCACCATCCCCACATTCCGAAACCTCATAACTACGAACTAGACGAGGAAAGAGACCGAAGGGACCGCAAAAAGGGGGGCGTGACCGCAAAGCTGCCTACAGTGGAGGCACCGCGTCAGGCGCGTCAGGCTATGTGCTGTCTAAAGCCAGCCACAAAGAAAAAATCGGAGAAGATTGTAAAAAGGTAGACTGTTTCTGGGGCTGGTCGTGAAGAACGACGAGAAGCGAGAACCTTAAGTCACTACACCTCCCTGGGAAGCAGCAAGCGGGCTCGTTCTTTTGTTTCTCAGACGCTGAGGAGCAGATTATGTGAGAGAGAGGGGCTTTAATGCTGTGGGAAGAGAGAATGTGTGGGAAGGGCATGATGGGCCAGTGGGGGACCTGCAGCAGCAGCAGATTCTCCATCAAAGACGAGCTGAAGGAGGAGTCGAGAAAGAGTGGAGAGCCAGCGCAGCTGGCACAAGTGTGCCAAGAGACACGGGCATCATCGCTGGAGGCGAGGCCACCAGCCTCATCCTGGCTGGTTCCAGCGAAGACATCATCAGCCCAGACCTCGCCTCGGCGCCGTGTCCCTGCGGCCGGCCAACGTCAAAGGCAACCGTGCGCCTGGCATGAGAGCCCCGAGGAACACCAACCAGTTCCTCATGCACGAGAAGTACCAGCTGATGCACATGCGATCGGACTCGGTGGGCACGGACAGTGGCTCGGACTGCGAGCTGGACTTTGCGGACATGGACGCCTACCTCGGCGTGCTGGAGAACGCTAGGGGCGCCCTTCTGGACAGCCCCGACCCGCCCTCGCCCCCTACAGCCCGCCTCGGCGCACGGCAGCAGCTGGGCGAGTGTCGAGCGTTCACCTTCTTCAGCTTCGCAGAGCTGGGGCAGCAGCAGGAAGAGAGCATGCAGTACTTTCCATCCGAGGACGATGTCATGCAAAGCGAGGACTTCATGAGGAAAGACTTTAACGCGTTCTGTGACGCGGTGGCACCTTGTATATAGACCTGCCACAGGTAAAAAAAAACAAACAAAAAATGCCATTTGTATGTACATCCGGACCGACAAGTATTTATTACACTGTTGTAAGCCATTTTTGCTGTTGTCATGCCATTTCACGAGCTGTCTGTATGTTTTTTTTGTTTTGTTTTTGTAAGTGGTGGAAGGTTCGATTCAGTCTTGCGAACCGATTCTTTACAACTGTGCTTTTTAAACACCCGAACGTTCAATTAAACTATTCATTGATTCATTGAAGTCAAGTCTGCTTTATTGTTCTCTCTTACATATACAGTGACTGATTACAGTGAGGGAGTCTGATTACTTTTATTCACTGGTGGATGTCAGACAAACTAAAAAGTTGGTTTCACCGTGCAGTTTTGTCAGAGGTTAAAACGTGAATGATCATCATTAGGATGTCATTGGAAGTCCTCAGGCTGTAACCCGGGACGTAAACAATTAGATAGATGCACTAAATGAAGTTCGATTTAATTGGCGACCAGATTTGTCCAAAAGAGCCGATTCGCTCACGAGTCGGACATCACTCTTGCCATTGTTTTGTTATGAAAGCGAGGCACTGAAGTAGGAGTGACACTAAGGAGCCAATCAGATTCGAGATCGCTCCCCGCAGCCTGGCTCTGGTTCTCTTGGGCTAAATCTCAAACGGCTCACTGATCCCTACGAAGTGCACTTAAAATGAGGGCTCATGCACCCAAATATGTCTAAAAAGAACCATTTGGGACTAAGCCACTTATATAGTTCGATACTTGGACATATAGTGCACTAACTGGGTTGAGAAGAAAAACAAATTTTGTTTAAAGCACGGAGTGCACTATATAGGGAATAGGGAGCCATTTGAGATGCAGCCTTACTGTCCAGCGACGCCATGTAAACGTTTCAGAGAAATAAAACGTTGTTTTATTAAGTTTTTTCTTTTGTATATGAAATGGGGTTGAGAAGAAGGCATGCTTATTCATTTCTGAGTATGGTTTTATTGCTAAAGCTGTCAGTGAGGGTTCAGTATTTTACCGTTTAGCCGTCTGACTTAGCCGTCTGAATCCTGACTAACATGCTAGAAATGTAAACACAGCAAATTATTCAAGGCTTTACTTCACAAAATGAGAAAGTAAAGGGGAATTCCACTGTTTTTTTTTCACAATTCTGCATAACTCAGTTGCTGAGGTGCAAACAATAGTCATTCAAAGTGGTTTGATGTGAAATGGTTCATTGTAGAGAAACTTACAGACCCAGATTTCTTTACAGTGGTGGTCATAGGAACCAGGGGTCACAGTGTCTACAACACAAACATAACCGTTTTTATTTACTGTCTAAAATCACCAGTGAACCTACATGTGTCTTCTGAAGTTTTCTATGTAATGCTGATTATGGTGGAAGCATGGCAAAGTTGAAAAAACATGTATTTTTTAAAACTTTGCCTAATACATGTGTCCCTCTGCCATGGATGGATTTCCAAAAATACTTTTTAGGTCAAAACCTTTTGTCAGAACTATTGTACATCAATGTCTTAGACATTAGACAGCATATTCTTAACCATTTCAAGTAATAACTTTCTCTGACTTTATACAGAAAGTTTGAAATATTGGTAAAAATCCCCTTTGAAGTCTTATATTTGTTAAGCATACGTCTATAATACATCCACATAATGAACAATGGACTACTTCACCAGTTTAAACTACTGAAATCTCTGTATAGGTCAGCAGGGTAATCAAAGCACAGGCTGAAATGTGATGCCTGTGTAACCAGCTAAATACTGCAGGCCGCCTCCACACCCACTCCTGCCTGTGCTGTTGCCAGATGGATTAGTCTTGGGCTACAGAGACATGTCACAACAGCAGAGCTTATTTTCATGAAAAGTGAAGGTGTGGGTTCTCTTACAAAGCCTCTCTACAAGAAGAGACTGCTGTAGTTGGAGAAAGCACTCCATATGAGCTCTTTCTGAGTGACTGAGCTGCATACATAATGGCCTTTTCAATGCAAAAGCACACAAAGAAAGACTGTGATGTGGAATAAAGAAGCTGAGAGATATCATTAATAGTCCGATGTCGTGGTAGACATGACAGGAAAATGTAAAGATCTTTTAAAGAGCAATTCCATTTTTTTTTCAAAATGTCTGCTTGATTAAACTGGTGAGAGGTAAAGACATTCAGAGTGCTTTGATGTGAAATAGTTTACTGTAAAAACTTACCAAGATTTCTTTACAGTGGTGATGATAGGAACCAGAGGTCACAATGTCTACAACTTGAATATAGCCATTTTATTTACTGTATAAAGTGACCAGTAAACCTACATGTCTTCTGAGTTTTTTATATGTAATGTTGATAGTGGTATATCTGACCAAAAAGTTTTCTTTGGGAACTATTTTGCCTTAAAACACCTTGCATGCAGGGGACATTTAGAGGTGGACGTCTGGTTCCTATCACCACCACTGTGAACAATTCTGACTCAGCAAGTTTCTTTAGAACAAAGCATTTCACACCAAACCACTCTGAATGACTTTGTTTTGTAACTTTTAATTTTTGCAGAAATTAAAAAAAAAATGAAAGTTTTGTAACATTTCTGTCATTTTATATGTGAAAAACGGTCACACTTCATTTTTACATGACCACTTTCTAACCTATCCTTATCCCTTTGAATTTAACAGGTTATTTTTGTTACTGTGCCTTGTATGTGTAAATGAGCTTTATTCTGATTCGCTGTCCTGTGTTGTACCTCATTCAGAAAGCACTCAGAGCTGAAACACTACCTATAACTTAAGTGTGAACGGGCAGGGCTAAATGGCTGTAGACTGAATAGGTGGATATGTAAATGAGTTGAGAACATTTCACACTAAACCACTCTGAATGACTTTCTTCTGTCTCAAAAAATCTATGTGAATTTCCTTAATGAATACTGATTACTCCTTTCTACACAGCCAGCTAACTTTAGTTAATAGTGTGTTTTTTTAGCAGCTCATCAACATTTAACATCTGTCAGCATAGGAAGTGAAAACTGTTGGGTGCTGTTCTTCTCTTTTTGATCCTCTCTTTCTAAACTAAAATGCTAAAGTGAGAGAACTGTGATGTAAATATGAACAGCTAAAGTGGAACTGGAGTAAATACAAATATACTCGCATACAAGTAAAAGCATTATCATAACAGAACAAACCCTGCTGTTAAATCAATCTCAGATCAGCTTTGGTTGGTAGCTGGTTTCAGATGGCCTGAACTGGTTTTTGATGGACCCTAGCTAGATTCCTGCTGTCTAAGATAGCAAGGTGGCAATACACCTTATGCTGTTTGGCTAGTTAAAGGGGAAATCCACCAATTTTAAAAAATTTCTGTCTTTCAGAGTGGTTTGGTGTGAAATGCTCTGTTCTAGAGAAACTTCTAAAGTCAGAATTTTGGTGATAGGAACCAGATGTCATCAAACATTAAAGAACATCATGACATGCCTGATGACTGCCGGGTGTCTGAGTGTCTGAGACATTGTTTTATGATAGTTTTAATACACAGTTTTCACCTGTTTTTTTAATCCATACATGGCGGAGGGGCACCTGCAGGGTGTTATGAGGCAAAATAGTCCCCAAAGAAAACTTTTTTTTCCTTGGTATAGCTGGCATATGCATTTTTTTTTCAAAAGGGAATTCATCAGAGGTTTAATGAAATACATGTAATTGGGAGAATTAAAGTAGCTCCTATCAATCCATCAGATTGCTAACAATGATGTACAACAGTTCCATGTGTTTACTGTTTGTGTGAAGCTGTAATCCTCTATTAGCAAAGAGTGAGGTTTTGTGGCATAGCTTCAAACAAATTTCAGCGATAGTTGCTCAAGATAAAACGTTTCAGGGTTTGTATCTTCCTTCCACCTCATCCACATGACATATCACACCATTAATAGCAAGGTCGCATCTGTACTGGCAAATATAGGACTATTATGACAGCGTATCAGGAATAGCGCAGTGATGCGGCCATGCTGAGTGTTAGTTATGCTGTAACATTATTATTAGCTTTGAGACAGTAGATGTAGTGTAATGGTACAGCACTATCTTCATTTAACCTGCTCATATGTTTCGGTATTTTCCAGAAAAGGGAGCTGTTATTTCATGTGAGCTCAAAAATATTGACATAACACACTGCAGACGTTTCTGTGGAACGGAAAAGAATCTGAAGCATATTTTCATCATTTGAAAGGGAAGGCAAAAAAGAGGAAGTTAGAGTAGCAAACACACAGTTCAGGATAGATCTGTGCTGATCTTGGATTGCAAAAAAAGATCTTATTGTCTCTAAAGAACCTTTCAGTTTAAAGAACCGTTTTTGTAAATGAGATGTGTAAGCGCAAAGAACCATTCTAAAGTTTTAAAAAACCTCCAGATAATGTACAGGTTCTAGGAAGAACAATAAATTAGTAAAGGATCTTTACGTCATGTGAGGGTTCTGTAAACGTTTAAAGGGCCCATACCATGGAAAACCAAATTTCCCTCAGTTTTTTAAATAAATAAGTTTGAAGTTGTAAGTGAAAAAAAAGTAAAAGTAAAAACTGTTAAAGTTTCAAAACGGAGTGCTCACTGCCCGCTCCATAGTCCATATATGGAAAATATGCTGCATTTTATAGTCATTGTTTCTGTGATGTCACAAGAACCAACTCATTTACATATATCCACCTATTTAGCCTATAGCTCTTTAGCCCTGCACACTCAACACTGACGTTATAAGGAGTGTTTCAGCACTGAGTACTTTTTGAATCAAGCACAATACAGGACAGCCAATCATAATAAAGCTCAATTACATATGAGTCTTAAACACAGTACAAAAAATTACAAAAAAATTTAATTGTAATAGAAAAAGAGGCTAGAAAGTGACAATGTAAAAGTGAATTGCATTTTTCATATATGAAACAACACATGTTAAGTTTCAGATTTTTAAAAATATCAGCATGATTACGTAATTTAGCCACTCGGGTTGGTTTGATGTTCAATATGAAGAGTTTATTGCGTCTAAATGCTCCCTCACAGAAAGCCATTAAAATTGTTTATGAGTGCTCTGCCTGATGAGACATTGTTTTATGGTAGTTTAAGAAGTTTTGGCCTAAAACATATTTCTTTAATTCATGGTGGAGAACTACATGCAAGGCATTACAAGGCAAATTTCCATAATGGAAACATTTTTTTCATGTTTATCACTATTACGTACACTATGTGTCCAAAAGTTTGTGGACACCCCTTCTTATTAGTGAATTCAGCTGCATTAAGGTGCACT